TGACTGTATCACCGCTGGTATTCATAAATTTAACTTTACCAAACTATGGCGCACATCCAAATTTGATGCAGTTAATTTTTCTTTTCATCTTTTCAATAACAACATACTTTTAGATAATAAAATTACTAAGCTAAATTAATTTGTACAATTTAGACCGTTTGGTTACTGTGCGCTATTTCGTCGTTCCTATGCGCAAGTCTTCCCTATGCGTTGTCGTTATGCGCATTTTTTGGTATTTGTTCATTAGCGGTTCGCTTATACAGGTTTGTCTTCGGTTTTCATCTGGCTGCTGCTAAAAATTTTTGAAAAAGAATCAAGAAAGAAGCTATAGCATCATAAAGATTAAAAGACCAAAGTTATAAATATTGTTTTGTCCTCTACTTCTTCGCTAGAAATAATCCCAATATTTTAAAAAAGCTGCCTGACATCCTTTAAAACTAGCAATCGTAGAATCGTTTACTTTTCAGGCCTAGTTTTGTTGAACTGGTAAATGTAACGGGTTCCGGAGTATATTATGCAGAAAAGCATCAGTATGGTAACGAACTCAATGAAGATCCGAGTATTTCAATCGTTAAATTTAATGCGCCAATACTCTATGCAAACTCTCAACTTTTGAAGAAACTGTTCAAAGTTGTTGCCGACGATTTCGAATGGTACACCTTCAGTCATACAAAAAATTTACATTGTAAATATATGTAAATATACCGCATATGGAAGTATTTAGCTGGCTGGAGATAAAGACTGAATTTTTTTAGGCGAACTCCGACCAAACCTTCTTCAATGAATCCCATAAATCCGAACATTGCAAATCCTATCCGTACCAGTAGTTGTGTACCATCAGTTGTCTTTTTAAACGAAGATGATGTGGTAACAGACACAATTAAAATAAATAAGACATTTAAAAAAGCAGTTTGCTAATTTTTCTGTCTTACAACTCTACTTCAGTAAATGTTCTTACTACTTTACACATTGATACTTTACATTTTCAGCCGATCTGTGACACGACTATAAATACACTTTCAAAAAAAGTCATAATACTAGACTGCGGAGCTATTCCAGAAGTTGACTGCGTCGGTGCTGTCGAACTCAAGAGGGTTAGTAGTATTTATCATTGCAAACTGTGTTCTTTGATAAAAGCTGATTATTTGCCGTAAGAATAAAGATTCCATCAGACCACTAGCTTCCTTCAATGGTTTAATTTCAACCTCAAAAAGTAATGCTGCAATAGTACGGCCAGCTAGAATGATACTGACTTTACTACTTTTAGGTCTACTTTAAATTTGCAGAGAAGCAAATTCGACTACTGTTTGCGTCAGCAAATGGTACGCAGTATTTCTAAGTTAATAGAAATTGATACTGAAGCATAATATTAATACTTCAAGCCTCTCCATAGTTCTTTTTCATGCAATTACGTTCTCAGAAGTTTTTTTTACAAAACTAAAAGAACTTTTTATTATGAAATAAAGATGATATAGCAATCAGTTGTCCAGCCAAAATCACATGTAGGAGCAACTTAAATTACTGAGTTTACAGTCCGAGTCCGGAACCAACTAAAAAGTACAGGATTCTACGACAGCGTTCCCAAAGAGGCATTCTTTCCAAGTGTACGTGATGCTGTAATGGCTGCTCAACAACTGCTTGGTACGACCAACATTCATATGAGGTAATCCAGTTCTAACTTTCTGCAAAACTTTTGTACAAATTTAATGCCGTAGCTGCTCACAAGGGCAACGGCTTAGAGACCAACTATTTAGTGTTTCAATGAACGGATACCGCGAACTCATTACCCTTTCTGGAGCACCATCAAACCAAGAACTGAATGAAACCAGGAGTACAATTACTGCGCCACGACAGTGCATGGAAGAAACAAGGTCATTGCTTTCAGAAACATCTTGTATCACGAGGAACAGTCCAAGCAATTTTTCGTAAATTTATGAAAAATACTGCTAACAGTAGAGTGTCTTCTCACTATAAATGGAGTTACCTCAAGAGTCCTTCTGTATCCAGTAACAAAAAAAAAGGCTACTTGAGTTCCAGATCCTTCAAAGACATCTACTTAAAAACACTGAAGTACTTAAGCACCATGATGCTGTGAAGCACAAACCGACACTCTGAGACTATATGTATTACCGGTCTTAACCAGAGACTCAAGCCTTGAAAAA